ATGACGAGTGTCATGAACATTCAAGGAATTACAAACATTTGCTTATTTTATAATTTAAATTTTGGGCACGTTGAATTTACGAAACCGAAGCTCGAACCAAAAATTCAAATTTTTTATATTCAAATTTAAGTTTAAAGAAAATTAATGGGGTTATGAACGTTATACTATACCAGCCATGAAGAAATTTTTCACAGGTATATAGTAGGCAAATTTTATGCGTCCTCGCTTTGAGAAGCTAGTAATTTTTATTCCATTACTGCGATGGTTACTATTTTGCTGTTTATGTAAAGTTGTTTCTTTAATAAGAAATTTCTTGGTAGTCTCTAAAACTTGGAAGTTAATTTGCATTCGAAAAAGGACCACTTGTTACCGTTCGGACCAGGCATTTAGTTTTAAAATACATCATAGTTAGTCGATTTACTCCTTACTGCAAGTGGAAGGAAGATCTTTTGTGCAGTCACTCGGTGTAACACAGGAATACAGAGAGAAATGATGAGTAGAAGTTCAAAATTTTGATCTTCAAATTCGGTTTACAATAATAGAAATTGTACGCGTTGGACGATTAATTCTCCTGAAACCATTGGCTCCAACTTAATTAGAGCCTGACTGTGAAACGTCTTTGCCCATAAGAGGCTAAAATCGAATTACAAAAATTTGCTCCAACAGTTCAATACTATTTTATTTCTGAAATTGCTTCGCGAATCCATTTTAAGAAACTTGGAGCCTAATTGCTACATGTCCTAGCTTTAAAAGGCTAAAATCAACTTAGAAAAGTTTGCTCCAACTTCTTCTTATTCATGCTATTTTGTCAAATTTCTTTGCAAATCTGACGGGAATTTGGCTTCTGATTATGTTGACTACTGCGGCTTAGTTGATTGTCTTATTTCTCATGCAAAAGCTTAGCGAAGATATTTTAAGAAATTTGGAGCCTAATTGTGACACTGATGTCTTAGCTCGTGTGGCTAAAATCAAATTCAAATAGTATGCTCCAATATTTCAGCTTTTTTCATCTAAATTTAATAAAAAACGAGAATTTTGGAATTTGGAAATCAAGCTCATAGTCTTAAATATTTTTTTCGGTGTTTTTCCATCCTGTGTTACATTCGAAACTGGCAGCTTTAAAGATCTTTTACCCTGAAAAGACAACATGGCAAGCTATTGATTGGATTAAAAAAATCTTTACATTAAAAAAATAATCACGATTTTGGAGATGAGTTTAATATTTCTGATCGGACGCTCTATAGTTTGCCATGATGCTCTTTCGTTTGAAACTTCCAAAAATCATTTTGTGCAAAGAATTGAAGTATGACAACAGATGAACATGTCAAATCAGAATTTCTATTTGAAGAAACGAAACGGGAGTTGCTCAGACTTTCTTAACTTTTTTTCCAAGAGAGGTTCAATTTGCTTTAATTCTTCAATTTTGTTTGCACGAGATATGTCTAATTATATTTTGGCGGGAAATTTTGAAGAAAACTTTGTTAAAATTTTTGCCGAAAATGTTGTTAGTGGAAACTCTGTGCAAATTGGTCCAAATTTTCCCGCCAAAAGTCTTAGTATATACACGAAAAATTTCTCACCACATTTTTAACAAATGTAATTAACTAGTGATTAAAGAGAATTTGAGACAAAAAACTTTGTTTGATAGTTTTGAATATTGCAAAACAATAAAAGATGATACAAAAACTGATCACTATACTCTTTATTGACTTGTTTACTAATATTACAAGATAACCACAAGTAAATAAATGTTCAGTTTATTAGCAAGGTAGACGTAATTTAAAACTTACTAGATCTCTTTTTTTAAAAGAAAAAAAATTGGCGCATGCGTATTTTGGGCGCCCGTATTTTTTCTAAGTTTTTTGGCGGGAAAATCTTCCGCCTCAAACAGCCCTTAACATGAATTGAACTGAGAGAGAATCACGAATAACAACTTTCCAGTTTTCCATTTTAGCGTTTGAATCTTAGTTCTGATTCGAAGTTGTTGTAAGAAATGCGCTACAACTGTTTTGCACCTGATCCTGAATAAATCTCGTCTGTCACTTGGATCATAGTCTGTCTTTTTTGATTCGTGCTTGAAGTACCAGGGATATTTACCAGTCAGTCTGCAAAAAAAATAAACCATAGATTGACAAATGCTCTCAAAATTAAACTTTGCTTTCTCAAGAGGTAATAATTAGCTTTGACTTGTCGTAGGAACACGCATTTGGTAAAGTTAAACGAGTAGCATTCTGTATTTAAATATTTAAGTACCGTGTAACTTTACAAATTAAAGTGAACGTAACCTGGATTTAACGAGAAATTCAAAACGATCACAGATGAATATTCTAAGAAATTTGAGGGATTCTGTTGTTGCTCTTGCCGTCGAAATGACTTCAGGTTAGAGGTTAGAGTTTCGATTTTAGCTTTTCACCTACTTTTTTGCAGATATTAAACCATTCTATTTAGAGAGTTGTTGTTGTTGTTTTTTTATTTCAGTCAAGCAACAACAAGCAGTTAATCTATGCTCACAGCAATTCCTCTGAGATCATGAAGAAATTCACATGTAACTGCTGCGTAAATTTAGTTTCTGCTTGCGTAAAAAATCATATCTCTGATCATTTGCAATGAAATGAAATGCTCTTGCTCAAAGTTTCGACGAGAAAGCCAAAAAAGTGACAAAATCATCATATTTTTGCAACTTCCTGTTTACACCAAAACCTGATAGAAATAGAAGCATGTAGATGTAAATCCTGGTGCGTGAGAATTCATGAGAGTCAGTTAAAATGCAAATAACAGTAAGAAACAGTATTTTTGAAATTGTTCTTTAATAAATAGCTCTGTTAAAAGTTATGAAATCAAGCTATTTCTTTCATGAAATAGCTTTCGTGAACAACTTTGAATTGATCAACGTAAAACTAGATTTCTTTGTTGCCTACCATTTTTAAGTTAAGCCATTTGTTACTGGGTTACCGAGATTTGGATTAAGGTGGCAAGAAATACTAATTCGTAAGAACGAATTTCCAAACAGATTTCTACACTGACTAAACTCCTGATGTTCTCTAATTAAAATTAATGATTCAAGAATGAATTCCGCAAACAACATCAATTTTTTTAGCATGCTATTTCAATGTAGCCTAAAGAGCTAAGACATTTTATAATAAGGCTTTACGATGTTTACAGAATCACATCAAAAAAACATTTTTATTAGTTGATAATCAGCTATGGAGTCACTGAGATACAAACATCAAGTTTTGGAGCATACTATTTCAATTTGGTTTTCGTTCTAAGAACTCAGACATTTCTGATAACTAAGCTCCAAGATTTTATCAAATCACGTGAAAAAAGGTTCTATACGAGTTGTTAATAACCTTTAAACAAAAACCAATTTTTGAGCACATTCTTTTCTATTGGTTTCAGCCTTAAAGGCTCAGAAGTGAAAAATTAGGCTTTAATTTTTTTTGTAATCAAATCACGTTCAAAAAAAAGTACTGTATCAAGCAGTTGATGAAAAACACTAAAGGCAATCTGAGCACACAGTTCAATTTAGTTGTAGCCCAGCTCAAGAATTCAAACATCTTTAACCCTTTCACTCCCAATATCTCATTAGTAATCCTCCTTACTGCCTTCAATATATTTCTTTTGATGTTAGTTCTGAGAATTTGGAATTGGATCAAATAAAAATCCCCTTATTGATATTTTCTTTACTCTCATCCTTGTCTGTTTAATATTGTATTGTTATTGTAAGGAGAAATTCTGTCTTAGTCACTCATGGGAGTTTAAGGTTAATAATTAGACTTGAACATGTCTAACGAATCATGTTAGAATGAAAAAATTATCAGTTGATGGTAAACCTTGCAGGAAATTTGAGAAACAAACTTTCTTTTCCAATTTGTTTTTAGCCCTAAGAGCTCATACATTTTTGGAATTAGTTACCAAGAACTTTTATTGAGATGGTTTCCACGCAAAAAAAGATCTTTTAGTTAATGATAGAGTCAATTTGACTGGAAAGGAAAATCAATGTTGAAGCAAACTTCTCGAATTTGGTTTTATCCTCTAGAGCTACGACAGTGCTTATAAGGTACTTCGGCTCCAAGATTAGGAAAAAAATAAAATTCCATACAATTTGACGACAAACACAGAAAGAACTTTGACATTAAATTATAGAACTATGCTCTTTTAATTTGGTTCAAGACTTAACTTCATAACACTTAAGCTAAAAAGGTTTAACTTTCTAAATTGAAAAAGGTTCATTTTAGAAGGAAATTATATGACTATTAAACATATCAGAGATGTCGAAAAGAATTTTGGAAGAAAAAAATCAAGAAATGTTAGTTGCAGGGGCATACTTAAATTTCTTTTTTATCTCAAGGGAAAAGACATTCAACAATTGAGCTCCAAGGCCTTTATCGAAGAAGGTGATAGCTAAAAAGGTTGAACTGTCTAAATTGAAAAATGGTTCATCTTAGTGACAAATTACTTATCAGAGATTTTGAAAAGAATTTTGGAAGAAAAAAATCAAGAAATATTAGTCGTAGGAGCATACTTAAATTTCTTTTTTATCTCAAGGGATAAGACATTCAACAGTTGAGCTCAAAGGACTGTATCGAAGAAGGTAATAGTGTATGAAATTATCCGACTCTAAACTTATCGGAGATCTACAACAGAGTTCTATGACTTAGTTTGAGAAATATAAAATCCTGAGCATCTTATATTTTATTTAGCCCAAAGAGCCGAGGCATTCAGGCCTCAGACTGAACGAAATTTGTCATCAAATGAACGCCTTCTTTCACATATTATGCAACAGTAACAGGATGCTTGGCAAGAAAATGCACTGGCCTAGTATCTGCTGCAAGAGCAAAGCATGAGTATACTCTTGAATAAAGATTCCCTTGTTAACGTTAAGCATCCCCTCAAAAAATTGAAATCTAATCGTGGCCCAGGCCAATATTACGTCTATTTGAAGATTATAAAAGTAGTAATCTTCGTGTGAAGCCAGGCTAGATTCAGACAATCATTTTGATGCGAGCAGAAATTAAAATGCAATATTCGACAAATTTAAGGTCTTTCACTGTCTTAATTGAAAAAAGGTTAATTTTTGCAACAAAATGATATGACTTTAAAAGTTATCAGAGATTTCGAAAAGAATTTTGGTAGGAGCAGGAATTTAAACGGAATATTCGTAAAATTCAAGCTCTTGGATGAGCCCTCGGGCAGATACGAAACATGCAAGGCCAGAGACTTATATCTTGTAAAATGTCTGCAGTTTGCTGATAAGCAATCTTACTAATAACAAGTCTGGGATAAAAAAATCGGATGATTGATGTCATTTTTACAATTATTCTCAAGTCTTAGAACTAATTTGATAGGCCAAACGGTTGCTATGGTAACTTGAAGGTCAGAAGGATAGATATAGCGTGCACCACAGTGACAAGGTATTTCGTGAAACAGATAAAAATTAAAAGTATTTATAGTGGAATTAAGTCATCAAAAAAAAACTGCTGAAAACAGCTTAAAACCACCTCAATCAGAAAGAGATCCAAGAAATCAGACAGTTGAGAAATGTATTCATTTCTTTTTGGCAGTTTTTCTTCATTATTGATCGAGTTAGTTTCGATTTGCAAAAGTTTGCTAAATCCAGGTTAGAACGTTCGACGTAGGCCTTAATAGCGAATTTGTTATAAAAAGCTAATGATCTAACCTTCCCATGTATTTCTTTGCTTCCTTGACTTTCTTGATTTCGAAGTCTTCTCATTTTCATCTTGTTGCTGCCCTAAAGGGAAAAAAAAGAGACAAATATATTATGAGTACGTTCATACTAGAGTGCTTCTCATTCTATATATTTAACGTCAAAGTCTGGAATAAAAAACTCATTTAGTGTTACTACATTTCCCTCGGGCAAAATGAGTACGATGATGGTCTCCTTCTTTGGCGAGGTTGGAGTGAAGGAGAACAGGTACGTGTAAAACACACTTTTATAGGTCAACACATTATAATCTTAATAGGCAGTTGAAAATATGTACAGGAATGAATAGAAACTAAAATACGTAATATGTACACTAACGAAGTACGAATTTCTTTCGTTTCCACTTAAGTCTCGTTCAAGAATAATTGTGAAGGCGGTTGCCGCGCGCTTCGAACTTGTCCTACGCTGTTTTATGTACTTTACGCTTTTCTTTCTGCATTTGACTCTGTAAAATGATTTTACAAAGGCCACAAAGAGAAAGATGAACACTGTATTACTATCCAAGTATATATTTCCAAAGGTTATTTACCTGAAGAGGAGTCGTGATAAAGTGAGAGGAATGAATCCTCGTCATGGTATTTGAACCACTTCATCCAGCTTAAAAAAAAAAAAAAACTTGCCGACCTGGACAGAAAGGACAATATCTAAGGTATAGGGTCCAAATGACGAGTTTCTTGACTCTATAGAAGCTAAAAAGACGCTCAAATTTCTTGTAGTTTGAAAGCTTTTTCCACGTGCAATACTGAGCACAAATATGAATATTAATTTGGAAATTTATTTGTAATTCAAATGAGTTTTCCGACTTCAAAAGGCGGGAAAGTAAGATGCCTCGCATTAGACAGCTTTTCAACTTATGTAAAGAAGTTAAAAAAGAGTTGCAAATATAATGTTGTAATTTCAGAGGTATCAACTCGAACTTAACTGAACTTGAATTAAAAACATCATTTTGCTTGAACAGAATTTTTAATCATTACAGAAGTATATGACGTCATTAGCTAGTACTTTGTGATACATCGTTCTTTTTTTCTCACGAAAATTTTGAGTTAACAAGAGGCTGCTGTTTTTCAATCTGCATCAGTGTCGAAACATGTTACAGACGAAAGAGCTTGGTATTTTACTCTATTAGCCAATTGTGAGCTATGATATGAAATACAGGATACGCAGTAAAATACCAGAGAATAACCTGACTTCATAAAAAGTGGCAGTTTATTTAGCTCAATAAATTTTAAAATCGCGTGAAAGACCTTCAGGTTTCAGCTTCAAGCTTTCCTTAAATACCGCATTGATTTATAAGAAACTTATAACTTTAAATAGCACCGTTGTTTGTTTTGGGTCACGTGATATTGGACGTGTCCTGAGACGTCATCAACGAGCTCACGCTCCATTTCTACATCAACCGTTCAAAGTAGGTCCAATAGCCTCAAATGACGTCGAATTACATTCAACTAAATTTTCCTAGCAACGGGCTGAAAAAACAGTGGAAAGAGCCATTGTATGTTGTGCAAGTTTGGTAGAAAATGCCATAAAATATTAGTAGGAAGGCTAATTCTTACTTGTCTTCGTCGTTTGGGAGGTCTAGAAAGGTGCATTTTGATCAAGAATGGAGCGAAGGGAAGGAAAAACCACCCATCCCTCCCCCCTTAGTTATGTAAACAGAAGACAGTAGCACAGCTCTGGAAACAGAACGTAACCTTATAAGGGTGGCAGGGGATCAATCGTTTAATCTAAGTTTAATGCATAATTCATGAAAATGAAGAGGGTGAGAGAGTAAATTTTAGGTCAATAACTAAACCACAGCATATGACTGACGTCATACCATAAGGTAAAATGACTGTTAAAGAACATGTGCAACATAACGTTATGTTCTATGCAATTGTTAATCCCAGCATATTCAGTTTAAAGTTGTACTGAAAACAGTAAAAATGCAACAGTTTACTTCAAGAGCACTTAACACAGGTCAAAAATTCGCGACTTTCGCTGAAAATTTTGTTGGCAACACGTTTTTCGTTTTTGTTAATGTACAATCAGTTATAGACTGTTATATCTAGAAAATTCGATATCCTGTAGTTGTAAGGCCACATAACATCCCCATGAATGAACCTGTTAACCCTTAGGTGTGAAAAGTGTCTAATTTCTCCTGATATTACAACCCCTGAATCAAACATTAAGGCCATGGGAATGAAGGGAATGAACAAATTGATCACCAACTAAAGAGGCTCTTGATTGTTGGGAAATTCTCCTTTGTCAGTACCATAGGGAAATGCATAAAGAACAGTATGGAGAACTTGCATGTTGATGTTAGGGTGTAAAAGTTGAAAACAAGCACTACATGTACCCTATTCTTTAGTCCACACATGAATGTGTGACTGTCGTTTGGTGGACAAAACTTGCGTGGGCAATGAAGAGAACACATAATCAAGATAGTCAAGTTAACATCAATCATAAACATCCTTTAATTCAAACTTTTAAGGAAACACATGGCTTGGCCATCTAAATTACACTCTAACAAGAATAACGATTACAGAAATGTAATCAATAAGTTAAAACCCACAATAAAATATTTACAAAATAATTTACCATACTCTGGCAGAAAATATTTATGTATACAGCTCTGGCAATAAAACTTTGTATTTTGGGGTAGAAACCTTTTTAAAAGTACTTGTTTTTTGACAATTTTTTCTATGTACCCCATAAAAGTTTGCCAGCCAGATTTGCATGACTTGAAAGTTCTCCCATCGTAAGAAATAAAAGTTTAATTACTGAAACCATAAATTAGCTTTCAGCTGTTAAAACCCATAAAATTAAATAACTTAAATTCCCTCCTCTGATGCAAACAACAAAAAATACCCAATAAACCATAAAAATCATACATATTATTTACATTATTCAGTACGATAACTTACAAAATATCCCAGTTGTGGTTTTGTTGGTGACTATGTCTACAGGTCACTAAAACTGAATTTTATAACAATAATACAAAACAAATCTTAACTTATTGTGCCCTTTACATTACAGTCATTACATCATCTGTCAACTTACGAAGAGTTCTTTAAAATTTGCTATCTTCTTTTAATCTCTTTTATAAGTTGATGCACAGCAAACTTAACACCATCTTCACCCAATAACATTTTGCCATAAGAAGCAGCCATGTTACGAACCTCTGGGCTAACCACCTTGACAAGGGCTGAACCAAATGATTCAGCGCTGAGTGACCGTGGGTGCCCAACAGACTCACCAACACCCATCCACATGACTTTATCACCCCAGTATGACTGATCAAACATAAAAGGGCACACAATCTGGGGAACACCACATCTTAGGGCCATACCAACTGTTCCACTTCCCCCATGATGCACTACAGATTGGCACAGTGGAAAGAGCTTAGAATGTGGGACATATTCCATGAGACAGTGGATGTTACAGTTCTGAAAGTTTTTGCACAACATTTCCCATGTTTTAAGGAGATTGGAATTGGGGGATAGTTGCAAGAGTGCTTTTTTCCCACATTGGACAAGACCTGAAAAACAAACAAATGAAAAAAGGATGACTATATAAAACTGTTAAAATCCATACATAACCCATTAACTCCCATGAGTGACCAAGACAGAATTTTTCCCAACAACATCTATACTAAATCAAGCAGACAAGTGATAAGAATAGAGAAAATATCAATTAAGAAATTATTAGTTGATCTACTACCAAATTCACCAAACTATCATCATGAGAAATGTATGGCAGACAGTAAGGAGAATTACAAATAAGATCTAACAGCTAAATTATACATGCATTTAGATCTGTTCTTACTCATGATCAAGGGGACAAACACATAGATATTGTCACCACAAGCAACATTTGCTTATTCACTAGTACATAAAATAAATTGTTTCCATGTTGCTTTGCACTTGTTCAATAATGGATCACAGAGGAAGCCAAAATGTGATAAGAACAGCAGTGATTCACCCAGCTGCACCTTGTCATCTACTACCTTTATTTAATGACTGAAAAGGTCCAAGACAATATGGATTATATTTGTTGAATATGGACTGACATCGTTTCTCAAAACCATTCTTAGGAGGTACTTCTGTGAACAACTCATCCACCAATGTTACATTAGAAGTGAACAAGACCTTATATTCATAAATTAAGCATCTCATCAGCAGTAAATTTTGATTTCCTGTAAAAATAGAGAATCTCGTACATGATAACCACTCAGTTTTTGGAAAAGTTAAAGTATGTATGTAACTATATAGTATTAACTCTCAAGTTAATAGGAACAGTAGATGTACCTTCATTAAGCACCCCAAGAAGCTCAACGCAATCAACACTCGAGAAAAATCCCAGCTCTTCCATTGAGCCAAACCCAATATATACTGGTCTTTCACCACTCCCCTTAAAGCTGGAAAAGAAATCTGGCAATGTGCTATAACCTGATGCTGGATGGTACACCTTGATGTCATTAATGGGTTCATCTGGGAGTTCCAGGAACCAGTAACCACACAGAACAACACTACAAATACAAGGAGATAACCAGTATGTGGCCGAATGAGTTCCATCATTCTTAGAGTAGTGGATAGATAGCACAATTCCTTATATTGCTAGGGTGTTTTAAGACTGGGACTTTGCTGGCCACCAGTAAAATCTGAGTGCTTCCTGATTCTTGAAACTCTGGTATAAAGTAAAGACTGAATTTCAGAGGTAGCAAGGGTGATAATTCCAGAGATTTTGCAGGGAAGCTTTTGAGGTTACCAGCATATGGCTTTGTGGGTTTATCTCTGATTACCTTACCTCCTAAAAGTGCAACTTACTATACCCTCATAGCACAAACAAAACCCAGTCCCTACCTCTTTTTTGTAACAAAAGATAAACTGAGAAATTGTATTACCAACTGCATGAACCTACTTTTCTGGCCAGTAAGGAGGCTTCTCAATCACTTGTGGGCTGATCCCATACAGAAGGGTGGTAGATGGGTGGAGTCTGTCATCAGGAGTCAGTTCAGCATAAGGGCACACAGGCAGACCAATACTGTCACAGAATTCCCCAAAGTCATCCAAGTAGAGTCTCCACATCCAGTGATCAATGTCACCATAACTCACTTCTCCTAGGAGTTATAACATAAAACTGCTAAGTTCCTCTGTGTGTGCACTTATGTATACAAGTATCCAAGAAATGTTTTCTAATTTGTTCTGTTTAGTTCATAAATGGTTTAGGGTTAGTGTAAAAAAATTCACAAAAAAATTTTTAAGCAGCACCTTGTTTTGAGTTCCGAAGTCGATGGTACAAATCAGGATAAGCATCAACAAATTTGCTTTCAAATGTCACGGGTGGAGTTCTAGAGAAAATTAAAGAATGTGAAAGTTGTAATTAAAGGCATCATTGGGTACAAGCAAATAATAGGTTAATATCATAGTTTCAAAAAGTTTTAGTTACATTTTCAAATAATTTGATGTAATTTTTACCTGGTAACAGCAAATGGAGAAGCTGCAACACACGGTACATCAAAGTATTTAGCAATGAACCATCCCTCGCAAGCAAAGAGGTTAAACACGATAGCATCTGCCCCTCGGCAGGCTCGCAAACTCCCATGCATCTCACTGAGGCGATCTTGTTGCTGACTCTTGGAGAAACCTCTTCCACTACATACTTGAAGCTTATAAAAATAATAAAAGCATTTGAAATACAAATAAAGTGCAATTTATATTTCATTGCATAACGATTGCAAAAATTTGAACTTGTGCTCAAAAAAAGGTCTGAGTCACGAGTATACTGCACACCTGCTCTTTTTTTAAAGTGGTATCTTTGAAAACATCCCCCCTCACCCTAATTGGGCAAGGGGGTTGTGTCAAAAACAGTTTTGAGACATGGATGATGAATTAAGGTTTAAATGTAACTTTTTGTGACCCTCTTCTGACCTCATCTAATTTTATTAAACAGGTATTGTTCTAACATTTTGAAATTAATACATGTACAAATAGTAAAAAGAAAGCAACAAAAACAGAGCAATCAACTTGTGACTTTTATATACACCTTCAAAACATCTATGCTCATTTCTCTACTGACTGATCCCTTTCCTGTTTGAATGACAGAGTAATACTGTGGTTTCACCCTCACTGAGTGTGCACAGACCACCCCTCCTGTTGGTTCCCAAGTGGGATGTTGGAAAAACATGAGGAAAGTTTGTAAATCACAAGGTGGAGGTGAATAGTTTAAAAAAATTTCTAGTGTTCTCCTAACATCCTGCATGGGTTACTACACTAGTGAACTGATAGAAAGTGTGGTCTATTACTTAAATAAAATTAACTTAACACAAATCACAATATATTTTAGTCTTTTATAGGTTTACCAGTGCAGTAAATGACAGATTTTTACCAATAAGGGTGCTTGTGGTATCTCAGTAATTTATAAATGGGCATAATGAGAATATTACATACAAGGGTATATCCATTTTGACCACTACTATCATAAAATGAAGAAAGCTCTTCCACTGATTTCAAAATGTCTTTCTCAATGAATTAAACAGCTAGCCGGCTAAATTATTCCCATGCTAATTAAGCTACTGGCTAGACCTTTCTTATTTAATTATCTTTAGTTCTTGGCTTCACTTGCCTCAACACTTACCTCTAGTTTCTCAAGACTCCGAGGCCCACTGTCTTTTCCAAGGTCATCAACAGCCATAAAATCCACATCATTCTTTTTGAGAATGCTGTCAAATTTGAGTCTGTGACATGCATGAGTTGCTAGGGTGCAGTTATCTGTGGGGTTGTTTTGTCTAAAGGAAAGAATACAAAACAAAAGATAGTCGCTCCACTCTTTGGCTCGACCTTCGCCAAATTAAGGGGAAAGTTATTCATTCGTCACAATTTGGAAACTATGAAAAGAAAAATTTTAAAAAACGTCTTCACTCGATCCACAAGGTTATCAAATCTGTTTTCTGGTAAAAAGGTCAAAAAAATAAAAATCAAATACCTAGAATTCCCTGTAGAAGACGCCTTCGAGAAAGAAAACAACAGATAAATTATCACGAAAAATGTGACTCTTGCATATTTCCTCCTAGGTTAGCTCACCATGGTCGAAAGAGACATATCGAAATGGGATAAGTACATTATTTTTCAAAACGATATTGATCTAAATAATTCAACAGGAATTAACACACGCTTGATAGCTTATGTAGTAAAATTTAGAACGCAGATAAACACGAGCAGTCGTTCGAAACAGTGCACCTCTATCAGAGTAAACAAAGCATTGTTTGCATAGCAAGTGGTCTCTGAAAACGAAGGCAATTTTTTTTATCATTTTGGGGGACGTCAATCGAAAGAGAATTAGTTCAGGATGTTTACTATTATGAGCGAACATAACCCAAATAAAAGGAAGTCTCCGTTGAAAAACGGTAAAACATGAAAACGAGTAAAAATGTATATATTTTTTACAGTGGTATCATTGTTTTCCTTTTGCTAACGTACACATAACGTGGAGATAATATATATTGTCATCCACATGCCAAATATTATTCTTACTCAATACTAAGTACTTAAAACCTAAAATCACAGCATGATGCTGGCAACAAGGCATAATATTTGACAAATAAGTATCTGCACCGGTGTGCAAAGAGGATGGAATAATTATGAGAATGATAAGCTGATTAGCAAGCACTTGAAAACTTACTTGAAGCCGACGGCAAGTGATAGAACAGGAGCGATATCGCCCCTTGAACCTTTACAGAGGAAAACCACTCTCATTTCTCCTGAATGGTCAAAGAAACTTCATTGATTTTTGTGTCTAGAAAAGTAATCTACGGACGGACGCCGAAGTGAACGCTAGAAAGAGCGTCGTCTTATCTAATTTGTATACATTCAAATTTCTTTGTTTTGCGCTTAGTAACCAAGCTTTTAAAGAACGCGCGCCAACTTCACACAATCCACGTTCCACGCGAAAACATTCATTTATTGCCCACTGTGAGCTTTTCAGTACAAAGAAAAAATTACGCGCTTCTGATCGGCTGAAAACGAATACATTCTCACGAGTGCAAAGTTGTAACACGGGTGCAAAGACGAGCGCAAATTACAAATAGCGCGCGCACGCTTTCAAAATTTCGTCTGTCTTGCCTTTCTGATGTTTTTTTACGTACATAACTATTAAGTAAGAGCATGATTACTCTTGTTTTTTGATTTAATAAGCACATGTAAATCTTTCAGTGACTAAAAAATTGCTCTTTCCCAACGAGCTCGTGCAATTTTGTTGTCTTAGTCGTCTAAGGGGGGTGAATTTCTCTTATCGCCATTTAATTAAGAACACATTAGTGGTACCCAGTATCTGATAATGTGTTTGCCGCATTTGACCGTGTTTTACCTCGGAAAGAAAAATTGGAATCATGTAGAGCGTAAGGCTTTGGGTCATTACTCTTGAAGATGTTCACAATTTGAAATTACAATATGAACGAGGACAAGGTTTCCTAAGAGCGGTCGTAAATATTCCCATACAAACTCTTAAATTTTCGCCATAACTCTTATTACGCAACATGATCATTCCAGAGCTGGAGCTTGGGCTGTCTGTGGTCAGATCCATTTCTTTACTTCAAACCATGAGCATTAAGATAAGGAGTCTGTTATCTTTGTTTATCATATAGCTCTTTATTTCGTTCTAAAATGCTTCTCTTTCTACTTCAAGTTCGAGGCTTTTCTTTCGTTTTTGCAAAGGTAAACTAAATTATGTATAATGATTAAAAAGTTCTCTACACAGGTCTTTGAAGTCAAGATAAATTTTTCCCAAAATAAAAGACCTCCTATGGTCTGAAAAGATAAATAAATTCTCTTAATAATAATGATAATATTTAAGTTTCTTTATACCCAATATTACAGGCGCTATCTCGCGATGTTTTCGGTGGTTTTCTTCGACGTGAAACTGAACTTTCAAACCAAAAAAATGTCAGTGTTATTACTGAAAGATAAAATACACAGCTGAAAAATAGAGAACGATTAAGGTTGGAAAGAATAAATACGGATTGTAAATGTCAGTCTGTCAAAAATTCGGACAAAACTTTTCGAAAAAGAAAAACCGTGAGGTAACGCCTTTGGGTGAGAATTTGTTTCATGAAAAGCAATTCACACTAACAAAGTAGGAACCTCTGTTGGAAACTAAAATATAATTGATTTCTATCTTTTAACTATTTTAAAGATATCTTTACAATATCATACTTGACAACGAAAATAACCAAAGTCAATATATACCACATGCACAGCTGCTTTTCGCGCGCGCTGATGGGCGATTGATTACCGAGTAATATTCCAAGATGATTACCAAGATGATTACCGAGTAAAATTCCGAGCAGCCAAGGAGACAAACTAATGCGTAGTTTTATATTTCCGATCATTTTAAGGATTGTGACAGAAATACCAAATTTCGGCTCTTGTGTGCAAGATACTGAAACCATTTTTCACCTTAGAGTAGGTGACAGCGGTGGATATTTACCTTCGAGAAGCGAACAGATGATGTCAAATATCAAAGCAAAGTTCATCATCAAGTAAAGACTATTGTTTTATATCATAAATATACGATGAGCGACTGATGAATATGAAAGTAAAACGTGCAATAAATTGGATCTTCTTTCAGCCAAGTGTTTAACAGCAGTCTGTTTAAAATCTAACTTAGTCGGACTTCAGTACATACCTCTTAAAAACCGACTTCAAGGTCCGCACTCTAGGAAATGGACCGAGTTTTTCCGCTCGAATTGAAGGCCCAGGCGCGAGGCGTACGGCCCATAAATCTGAGCGGAAAAACGACGTTTCGTAACATACAGTTTGGACTAGGAAAACGAGTTTAAGATATCTACCATATCTCTCCGTTCAAGCGGTGGGAGGCAATATCACTTCAAACTAACTTTTGAATTTAGCGGGACGCGCAATGAAACACGGCCCGCTAAACTGAGCAACCATGGCGTACATACTAACCGATTGAGAGATAAAATAAATTAAACTTAAGTATTCATGTAGCAAGTATGGTTACCCTCAATTACAAATTAAAAGTTTTTGATGCAAAATGTATACGTTGAGGCCTCGAAGGTAAATAAGCGGATACCATCTTCTTTACATGGTAAAATCTTGATTCTAGTCACTATTATGCATCCATAATGATTAAATAAATTGAGATAAACCAAAAAGTGCTACGTTTTGTTTACTCTCCTGAAAGAAGAACCACGTCTTTAACCCTTTAAGTCCCAAGATCTCATTAGAAATTCTCCTCACTGTCTGCTATATAGTTCTTCTAATGTTAGTTTGGAGAATTTGGTATTGGATGAATTTGTAATGACCAAACTGATATTTTTCTTTATTCTCATCACTTGTCTGTTTGATATTGTATTGATATTGTTAGGAAAAATTCTGTCTTGGTCACTCATGGGAGTTAATGGGTTAATTATATCCATATTCATTTGCAATCATCAGTTCACTTTTCACCTGACAGCTACATGACCTCGTTTTAACCCTCTACACTCTTAAATCAGTACGCATATTCCTCATACTGATCTATATACATTTCCTTAAATGCTGACAAGGAGAATTTGTTTCACAATCAAGAACTTCTTCATTTAATCATTTCCTTTATCCTCGCAACATTAATGTGTGATTCTGGGTTGATATTGTAAGGAGAAATTAGATGCTAATCACTCTAAGGGGTCAAAGGATTAATATCTATTAATTAAACTCCAAAAACACCCAACGGTTTGTGTCCAAATAAATTCTTGTGGAAAACGCACAAGTCAAAACGCCCTTTGAAAAGCAACGATACTATTTAGTTCTTTGCGCTCGGATATGTCTGGTATTGCGGAACTCGATTAGTTCTAAAATCCAACACAGCCTCGTGAGGAAGAGCAGCCCTTCGTGGGTAAAAGGTGTAGTTCAAAGGATAATTAAGCAGATTTTCAACAGACGACATGTAAAGGTCAGCAAACCGTACTAAGCGGCGAGTGAAATACGTCGAGTTGGTGTATGTCCGAAAAACACTTCCAAATCTGGGGTTAAACAGCGCTTTCAACTTCAACCTGCAATACAATAAATCCATTTTTAAGTTTCTTTGTGCGTAGCGACCACAAAATGACACCAGAGAAAACATTAAAATGAAAAAAGATTTTAAGAAGGAGTTCCACATATTTTGTCTTCTACACTATTCAAATGCAGGGTACAATGTACGTATGACTGCGCAAACGCAGGAGAATTGTCAGTAAATTCACCAGAATTACACAATGTATATGTATGGCTGCTACGCGAACGCAGCAGAATTGTCAGTGACTTTCATATGAGTTTTTCTTACTTGAGTTCTCTTCTTTCTCGTTTCCATTCGTCAGTAAGTTGAGCCCGTTTACTGCTTGGAGGAAAGGCCTGTCGGACAATAGGTAAACTTTAATTTGTTTGTAACAGTTCTGACGATTTGCTAGGTACAAGAGTTATAAGATTATTAGTGCAAAAAATTCTGGATTCTTACGGTACATCATTACAAAGTGAGATCTTACACTTGGACAACATTAACCCTAAGTGAAGCTTTACATGATAGCTCTACCGAGTAGCCTCTTCACATTACAGTTTATTGTACCTTTCCTAACCAATACGATGTTCACATGGTTAAAGAATTGTTACAGCTTATTTTACAGCCAGGCGACAAATACAACCCTGCTAATGGGATCTGATCACTAAAGTGCGCTACTGACGTTTAGCCCGCGGGAAGGCCCTGATTATCAGTGCTGCAAGACGCGCGTTTCTCCGCCCGTGAGAAGATTGGAGACGAGTTGACTTAACCCCTTGCAAACCTCTGCTAGCTCGCATTCCTCAAGAGCTCATACTCTCTTAGAGATGAAGAAACGCACATACTGAAGCGCTTATAATGAGGACCTGTTCGCAAGCTGCTGACCTTCAGTTGGAGGATTAAATCTTGAAGATTGGTCAGCCACACCACAGAACGCTGAAAATCCAGTGAGTTGCCGTTCTTGATTTCACTCTGCCAAAAAAGAAAAGAGAAAATAACAATTCTTAACGTGAAGTAGATTAATGATTACCTTCACAAGCTTTACTTCAAACAGTAGGGAAATACTGTTGCTTTGTCACGAGAGTGAAGAAAGTAAAAGTCCGAGTCTCCACCTGATCTAAACGCATAGCAAGTAGAAACAAGACACACGAGAGAAAAAACATATTTAGGTAATATAGAATTAACCGCTTTTTTTAGTTTTATTTTGGACGTACAATATAATTAAAATTTAAGCCAACTGGTAAGCTATCGGAAGCCTGTCGGTTACAAGTCGGCCGACAATCGGCCAACAGTCGGTAGAGGGAGGCTGCTCTTTTCAATTATCCATGTCAGTAAGAAAAGCTGATCGCAAATACCTCTAGTTCCGGGATGATGGCCCCAGTTCTCCACCCATGGTAAAGAACAGGATCCTAAAATAGACATAATAAACAGGAAAAAGAATTTCAGAACACAAAGTGCAACTGCCAACGAGTAAAGAAAACACCACGGGAAAAGAAATTGTTTTTGTTTTTTCCTCTTCAAAAAGGTACTGGAGCATGATTCATGACAATGGATAGAAATCTAATGAATTGGTTTATCTTTCTTCTTGCTTTATGTCCGAATGTTTATAAAAATTGAAAACAATTATAGACAATCCAACTCACTCTTAAGTCACTGTAAACATGATCACCAAAGTACAGCACATTTGGACCGTACCAGCCAGTAAACTTTTTGAACTGCTCAATATTTCCCTGAAACACGATTTTGATAAGAAATGAATAAACAATAAAAAAAATAAATAATTCAAACGTGCAGGCTGGCAAGTATGGTGTGGGAAGCAGAAGTTCTTAAATGTTACTCACTTCAATATAAACTTGTCCTCTACACAAAGCTGAAACCTTCTGCCACATTGGACGATATAGTCTTGTGTCCACGCATCTAAAAGGTCTGTAAATCAATTTAATGTTGATCAGATCAATCAGAAACTAAATGTTAATCCACAATAGATACTTTTATATCCTATAACCATTTGTGGAAAAAAAACCGTAACCTTTTATACCCTAATATCAGTATGCATATTCTCCTTACTGTTCCCCATACATTTCCTAAGGTTCTCACAAAGAGAATTTTTTTACCAAAAAAAAAAGGGCTTCTTTAGTTGGTGATCATTTCCTTTATTCTCATGACCTTAATGTTTGATTCAGGGGGGACACTGTAAGGAGAAATTAGACACTTGTCACTATTGGGGGTTCAAGAGTTAAGGAGGAAATTCACTCTGTTAAGTATTAAGTATCTGCTTGTTTCCTTGAGGGGAAAAAAACAAGAATGTGAGCAACAGTACTATAATGTTAATTACTGAAACCAGCAGTTGGGAGCCATTGCAGTCTCCACTCTTCCCTTTGACCAAATGGATAACTGTAATTGTTTGTTTGGAGGAAATAAAAATTAAACTTGCAAGTTTCCACTTGAAAGCAACACAATACCCACCTTGATGCCTGCTGATGATAAAAGGAAGGCTTGCGAGCTTGTGTTATAACAACATCAAATAGATCACGCCATCCTTTACCAATCATGTGATCCATACCCTTCTTCCTAGTTGTGGAACAACAGAAAAATAGCATAAATACCGACTCTGCTACGTACAATTAAGGATTATTTCAGGTAAGCCCACACATATCTAAGGGACTCTTTTAATAGTCTCCCAAGAAGACTGTTAGAAAACACATTTGAAACTGCACACACTGCAGACCTATGGGTAAATAGGATTAATGGAAGTTGCCAATATTTTTTAATCCAAAGCCAGGAGTAAAATATTCTACAGGGATCACCACTGAGACAATTCTGCACATCCACATTTGTGGTGTCCACAGGTGTATAAAAGTACAGTTAGGGCAGCAATGCAAGCTTTGATAAGTTTCCAATCTTAGCCTATTGAAATACAATAACAGCCAGTTGAAAGTGAAGCCCTACAAAAAAAATTGCAGTCTCTTTATGTAATCTCTAAATTTTGATTATTAGTAAGTACTTACACAAACTCAAAGCCACTGTTGGTGATTAAGAAAAGCATTTTCCCTGACGAAACAAGTCTCTGGAGTAGTTCTCCCAGATGAGGGCTCTTCTTAAGGTATTTATCTATCAAATAAAGTCACCAATTTAACATTTCACAGTTACTGTAACACATATATTACTCAGCATTCCCCTGTTTAAGTGGCATACAACTCAGCTATTGATTAAGAGTTGTGCTTTTTATAATTTTGCTGATACTTATTTTGGTACTCATTCATTGGCAATATTTAAATGGGCTGGCCCAGTTCAGCTTAAGGCTGGTTTAAATGGGGGCCTGTAAAAACAGTCTTAATATGACAAAATATCATAATAAAATACACAAACAAACTCAAAACACAAATTACAATAATTGTACATATTAAGGAGCTGGGAAATTATGCAAATTTTTTTTCAGGCATCACCCTTGTATCATCCATGATGCCACTGAAGAACAACATGCAACACCCACGAGTGACCAAGACAGAATTTCTCATCATAGTATCAATACAATATCAAGCAGACAAGTGATGAAAATAGAAAAAAATACTAGGGTGAGAGGGTTAAAATAATATTGATCAAGATGATACCATATCCCTTCAATACTTTACCTATATCATTTATGACTGCCTGATACATCTTTCCTGATTTGTGAACATTTTGCACTGCTTGCTGAATTAAGATAAAGAAACATTAATGTGAGTGCCATCTGTTTCAAACCTTTCAAAGGAAAATGTGAGACACTATTTGAAAGTCTCTCCTTTTTCCTAACAAAAAAACCATTCTTTTATTGCGTTTTTTTTATTTTATTTTTTGGTTTTTTTTTACTTATGTGCTGTTCTATTTTATTTCAAAACATCAAGCAAAAACTTAGACCATAAAATTCAAGAAAATAAAGGTTTTTTATCGGCTTATTTTAACTTCCCTCTCAAACAATAATAATGCTATACAAAGAATGGCTTCAATTCTGAAAGAAAATGTTCCTTCTTCTCCAGCAGCCACAGGTATAATTTGTAATAATCATCATAGTGATGATAGATCTATCATGGAGACCTTTAAAAATAATATTTTGGGTTCAAAAATTTAATGTTGAAATTTACTTTCATCAGAAAATAAAGTGTACTTCTGAAGCAAGTACTTGTGTGACAATAAAACAATTAAGAAGAGATGTGTCATGCACCCTTTTAAGTCAATCCATATCTAAAAGGTCTTCACTGTTAACATCAGTTTGCATGTTCTCCATACTGTTCTCTAAACATTTCCTTAGGTGTTGACAAGGAGAATTTGTTTTAACAATCACAAATCTCTGAAGTTAGTGATCATCATCTTTATTCTTGTGACCTTAGAGTGTGATTCAGGGGTGATATTGTAAGGAGAAATTCGATGCTGGTCACTCCTTAGGGGTCAAAGGTTTAATGTTACAGACTTGATCTAAAAGTGACTTACAGTTGCCCTATCATTCAAAGCTCTTCTTTGTGATTAAAACAATTCCTAATGGTTACTTACCTGACAGTCACGAAACAAATACTCTGGATCATAAGGGATACCTCTTTGTTGGAAAAACTGTGGCAAAACAAACAAAAATAACAATTAATGTATACATAACAGTAAATTCCAAAAATGAAAAATTGTTATGCCCTACTGAAAGAAATCGTTCTATTCTACAATAGCACCCAGCCTTCAACTAAAGTCACAGAGCACCATATTGATCATCTGAGCCATCTAATTTCCTAAGCATATCCTTGCTAAAGTAAACAATTTCTAAGACTGGTGCTATGAGGTCCAAAAGAACAGTCTCTAATGTAACTCTTATCTTACTGAGGTAATTATGAAAAACAACTCCTTAGAAAAATTTGTGGGCCAACTACTAGTAACTTAATTGTAGAAAAACTGATAAGGACCACTAAACACCTCAATGACGTTGGATATGAGGACCATCTCTGGATATGAAAACAGATCAATCATATGATGCATGGTCCGCCTTGGGCCCTAGAAAAATCACCAAAAAAAAAAAAAGCTGCATCAGTTCAGATCATATATCTACCCTTCAGGTTGAAATGATTTCAACTTAATCAAGTTTTGCTTTGTATTTTTCTTTCTTTAAGGATCATGAAATGTTCCTTGAATAAGAAAAAAACAACAACAAACAAATAAAATTAGTTTACATTCATTTTAACCTGACATCCAGTGAGTCACCTATTCACAGTTTCTGATCCTCAAAACATACTTACATTGAGAAAATTGGAAGGGTTGATCTTTGTTATGGCGAGATGTGTTCCTTCATAAATTTTAAACACTTCATCATTGGGTACAGGTTGTAATCCCCTACAATTCAATGATTCAAATTTCAGCATACAATGACATTGATTGAGCTGCATTTTGCTTATATGACATTAAACTCAAAATTTTTTGTACATAAGGAAGTAATAAATTACACTAGATTGCAAAAACTATGCACCAAAAATGCATAATCCATAAATGATAAGACCAAACAGCTTTCTGAGAAATTTTCACACAGAGAAATAATCAGTAATTCACTTGTCTCATTAATGTAAAATCTCTCTCTATGGTAACCTTTTTCTCTATGGGAAGCTTAGATAGCTTCCACCAATCACCACGATCAACTAATGGTGGGTAGCAAAGGGGTTATGATCCTGTTTCACACACAGATTTTTCAAAAATTCACTTGTCATGTATATAAACCCTTTGTCACCCTCCTAATGGTGATTATCGTTTACAACTGGTTCATAAAGCAGTAGGGTCTCATTGATCATTTTAAATGCTCTTTGGGTGTCAATGTTTTTGCATTTGAGTGCATACACTAACACCAACATTAACCTTACCTATAAACTGAACCCAACATAATGTTGTGGAATGCATCAACTTTGAGCAAAAGACCCTGAGAATTTGAGAAACCAACCCTTCAATGTTAATTATGATTTAAAGTCTGACTGGAAGTAAGAGACATTTTTATCATGACCAACATAGTAATATCATCCCAATAACTGCATTAATAAAAGGTGATTGCATTGGTTGCATTTGAAGAAAACGATTCAATGGTTACCTTGTATGAATAGGAAGCTAACTTTTCAAAAAAGCGTTGACAAGGGGGTTTTCTGCAAGTGCCCATATCTAACATTTTATTCCTCATTTGTAAGACAATGTTTTCAAAAATAGCTTTCTTGTTGCCTTTCCTGTTCAGAGTAACAAAACCTTTTTCATTTGTTTTTGGTTCAGCAAAAGATTTAAATAACACAGGAGAAAGCTGGCCAGAGTCTCACCAAGTTTTTAATGCTCTTTCTTTAAAAATCTAACCACACATTGACAAAAACATTTCAGGGGATACATTTCTCTGATTACAGAAAACCTTGTACCAAAAATCAGTTACAGGAGTTACAAAGTTTTAGTAAGTAAGAGTAAAGAGGGTGAGTTTCTAAAGAAACTTTGGTGCTGTGTCTGAGGGGGCATTGTTAGATAAATGGTTTTATCAAGTGGGCTGATGATGTAAATTAGACACCGTAAAGAGTTTTCAAAGCCAACATTTCAAGCATTAGCCCTTTTTCAGAGCAAATGAAGAAGGACTAGCCCAATAGGTCTGGTTGAGAAACTCTTTACAGCAGCCAATTTACTTTAATGAAAGTAGTTTTAAGCACTAATGGTTGACACATTGGTTTTTGAGTTGAGAGTAAAGGATCCAAACCCTGACCCAGCCTTTGTGTTGTGCTTACAGAGGGACCCAGAACTCTCACCCTATCTCTCTCCACCCAGGAGAGTATAGGGGTACAAGCAAACTGTCAGGAAACCCCTGGGATAAACTAGCATCACATCAAGAAGGGTATAGCATGATTGAAACTCAGTTTTTACGGAGAGACCCTGAATTCCAACAGTGTCTCTCTCCATCAAGGGAACATAAGGTACCAGCAAACTGTCAGGAAATCCCTTCTAGAGACAAGTCAAGAAGGGTGTGGTGATACTCCTGGCCACCCTGTGCTACTGAAACCCAAATCAACTATGGCAGTATTGGCTCTCTGGCTCATAAGCTGAATTTTCTTTTCCTTGGAACACATGTGAAAAAAAGACTTAAGATTCCTGTATCAATTTAGCCATAAAAGAGTCTTCCATGTCATCAGTTAAATACATACGCTGCTGGTGTCAAAGTGAAGTCCTCTAATGGCAAAATGAGGGTCATACTTCATGACTTCAATCCCTCTTGGATACTTGAGATTAAAAGAATATTCAAGAAATTATTATTTATACATGGCACAATTACTAAAGAAAATGAGGTTAGTAAGATGTATTTATTTTATCTCTGGGTTCAAATCCAGGTGGAAGATTTCAATTAGAACAAACTTTTGAATTTAGTGTGCCATTCAGTGAAATATGATGAGTTTATATCCTGGAATTTACAGTATTTAATATTAAGACAAGATTATGAGTGTGAATTATCATGGCACTCTCAATACATAACTAACATCTAACTTCTGATGGATACAAAATATTTCATTTCAAGTCTCAATCATCTACTGAGCATATCCTTCTGTCACTTTTTCCATGATCAATATAACATAAGATTTTATAGGGAAGTCATGAACACAATTATGCTCATTTTTGGGATCTTGCAGGCAATTCTTCTAATTTATGTTTCTTTGATCATTATTTTTCACTCAACAAATTTCATTTGACCTGTGGATTAAAGTCAAATTAAACAATAATCCTTGTAGATGAGCTGCAGAATAAGCAAATGCAGAAAAGAAGCCTAAAAAACATTCACTGAACTTTCATTAAATTATGACCACGGTTTCCACTGGAAAGAAGAATCCTCTTAAAAGTGCCCTGCTCTCCACATGCAGCTTCATAACTAAATTGGTAGTAGTGCCCAACTACACATAGTATCTGGGAGGCACTGCATTTTCTCAGGTTTCTTTTCTGCAAAATTACTGCTTAACCCTTTAACTCCCAAGATCTAACTGTTAATTTTCCCCTCCAGCTGCCACACATTTATTTATAAATTTGTGACAAGAATTTGGTGTTTGATCAAGATCAACTTCCACCTGATAAGTTTGAGTATTCTCATCACTTGTTTGCTGGATAATGTATGGAT